AGCTCTACAGCTTCCCAAGTTTCATCACCAAGAGTTAACAGATAGGCCTCCATCCTGTTTTTCCAGTAGGTGTAGTTGTTCCCATCGAACACAGGTGGACGAATAGACGAGATTACTTCACGACTCATCTTGAACCACGGACAGATCTACTCGGGGTATTGAGCACGCTGCTCTGATACCAGATGTTGGAAGTCGCGGAGAGGGGCGCGAAAGAGGTCCAACGCCTCCGAGTACCTTGCACAGCGGAACTGTGAAACGTTTGACGTAAACACAGCTTTACAACGTAGTTGTCTCGCGGTTATAACAGAGGTGTGTGTTCATGCACGAATCGATGGCTGAATATGTGCAAAAAGAAAAACAACACACCAAGTTTGTTTACCCAGTTCGGTTTTCCAACCTACGTCTGGGGGATTCCAATCCAGGAGTCTTAACTAAACCAAACACTTGGTTTACACCATATAAGACACCAAACCGAACTACCCAACCTATCTTCTACCCAAGCTCCATTTAGTTTTACAAACTCTCATGGACTGGCTGTTACTCTACCGCAACAACTCCAGCAGGCCAGCGACCAAGCTAAGAATAAGGTTGTTTACCGGATGAATATCTTCTTCGGCTTCGACTCCAAGAATCCTTCTTCTCGTCTTCAATCCTCCATGGATGAGCTCTCTCAACACTCTAACAGGTGGAGAGAATATTTCTCTAAGTTCTGGTTGCTCACCCACGAATACAAACAAACATCCATGTCAAATATATACACATTACACAAAAGACAAAAGTTGACAGTGACAACTTTTGGGGCAGTGTGTTCAAGGTCATTTAATGCCATCCAATATGAGAGGACAATACATGCAGCTTCTCCTGCACGTCCTCTGTCCAATGCATATTCATTTGTCCTATTCCATTGAGTGTAGAACACACAAGATGCATCCAAAAGCTGTAACTCGGTCAACTCTGCAGTTGGCAGGTTTCCCGAAATGGTGTCAAACAGAACCTGCAACAACATCCTGCAACTTGCTCATATGCCAAAAGTAGAAACAAAAGGGTTTGGCAATTTTGAATATGCCAACAATGTATTTTTACCTTACTATAATAAGAAAAAAAAAATACTTTTGAATATGACAAACAAAAATGATAATAAAAAATATATATATATTTTCAATTGAGACAAATAGAGTATTATTTGAATAAAAATAAATAAATAAAAAAATCAATCATTCATTTTATAGTTATCTTTCATTTTACAAATTATAAAATGAAAATAAAGTAACTTAATTTTTATAAATTGTGAAATATTTATTTATTTATTTTATTCAAATAATAATATTTGAGACATTTCACCTTATTCATTTATATAACAATTGTATAATTAGATATACATTTACAAACAATGTTAGCCTTTGGATGAAGATGATGTTTCGTGCACACTTTAATATAATATATACAGATTTTACGTAATAAATACCATATATTTTATACATATGTAACAAAACACAAATAAGTACTATGCAATTTAGTCTTTATGTTTAACCAAATTAAAATTGCATATAATTAAGTTTATACTACCTTCATCCGGCTCTAAGGGTTCAATTTATTTTTTGCGTGGTGATATTTGAATATTATTATTATATCAAAATATAGTACAAATTAAGAAAAAATTACAAAAATACTTTCATTAATGTCTTATAATACTAATATAAAGACATTTGTAAAATTATTCAAATTCACTGGTGGTGATAATAAAAATGTACATATCTTAAAAAGTAAGGATTCTTTTGTTTAGTGTTTTGATTTAAATTTTTTTTATGTAAATAAAAAATTTGTGTTAGTAATATAAAAAATAATATTTTATATTAAATTTTTTATTTTGTGAAAGAATAAAATATATACGGCAAACAAACTATAATTATCAACGTTATCATGGAATTATTGAAATGATTATTATTTATATAAATTCCAATGTGTCCAAATTAAATTTGGACTAATTAAGAATTTAATGTGAGCAAGAAATCTAAGTGTGAATAATTAATCGTTGACAAGACTGAACCCACTTGTATTATATATATATATATATATATATATATATTTTATAGTGTATTTGTTGAAAAACAAATAAACAAAATAAGACCCTAAACTTAAACTGGAGCTGGTTTAGGATAACATTATTTATTGATTTTCAAGAAACTATTTAACAATCATTATTATAAAAAAAAAAAAAAATAGACAGAACAGACCATATATTGAAATTTTTGTTAGTGAAATGGAGTACTTCCTCCTCCCACATTTTATATCTATTATATTGTAGATATTATAATTTAGATAAAATATAATTAAAAAATATATTAGTAAAAATAATTATTATATAATATAAATAATTATATATTAATATTAAGTTAATTAATTAATTACATTAAAATTAAAATTTAAAAATTATTGATTATAAAATTTAAAATAAGATTAAAATATATATATATTTTTTTAAAAAAAAAAGAAAAGTACAAATAAAATTAGATGGATAGAAACAAAATTAATGAACAAATAAATAATGTGAGACAGATGAAGTATTATTTAATTTATTGCAATTCATAAGAATTTTTAAGAATAAGAATCAACTAGGTATTTAAAGAGCCTCCTTTACAAACTTATGATTACCTTCTTCATTGTCTTTATAATTATTTTTTTCAGTTTTTACTATAATAGTATTCATTATCTTTAATAACAAATACAGTTATATAAATTTATTATTTTTCTAAAAAAACTGATTATCTTTAAGAAAAATAATAAAAAATAATTAAATATTATCTGAGAAATTTAAATTTTAAATTCAACGGAAATTATCTATAAATATATTTAAATTTTATTATAAAATTATCACTTTTTATCTATCATATTATAAATTTATTTTTTTTCTCTTATTTTTATACTTTTTCGTCTCTTAACAATCTATTCATTTTTCTATTTTCTTCCGTCCCATAACAAAATATTCATTTCCTTTTTTAGTAACTGTATTATCTACCTAACATTACAAATATCCTTCTAATTTACAATATATCACACAAATGTCATTGTCTTTATATCATATAATACAAATAAGGGCAATTTAGTCTTTTTATCTTTACTTCTACTGCATTCTAATATAATACTAATATTTCTAAAACTTTGTGCAAAAAGTAAATTGATATATAAATACGAGACGGGGAGAATATTTAATTTTAACATAATAAATTATATGCTTTAAATTATTAAAATTTATATTGATTAATATTTAAAAGTTAAAATATAATATTATATAAAAATATTATCAGACAATAAAAATATATAGAAATATGTATAAATAAATAAATTATTTATATATATGTTATTACATGATAAAAATATATAAGTATTGCGAATAATATTTTATAATAATTACTATAATGATGATAAATGAGGTAATGTAAAAATTGAAATAAATAAGATATAGATATGAGATATATAAAAAATGATAAAGTTAAGGTAATAACTATAAACAGATGTTCTAAAAAATTTGGTTTAACCTTTTAATTAATAATTTCTATGATTTTATATAAAATTAATATTAAATTTATATGGTTGTGTTTTGATATTTTAGTACATTTTATAATGCTAAAATAAATAAATTATAATGATATTGATAATATATACTATTTAATGTGATAATTTTAATAAAAATTTTATATTGTATGTTAAATAAAAATAGATGTAAGATTCGTTATTCTAAAGGAAAATAAATTAAATTAATATTAATAAATAGTGAAAAAATAAATACAACCAAACAAATTCATATATCTTTTTTCTTTTTACAAAATACCCCACTCCGTTTTGAGCTAATTATGTCTCAATATTCAGACATATGGGTTAAAAAATAATAGTATTTTAATATAAAAATTGAATAGGTAAAAATAAAGTTATAGTATTGGTTAATAATAAAATACTGGAGTAAATAAAATAAATAATGACAAGTTGAATATTATTTTTAAATTGAGAGTAATAAAATTGTATGTAGATGAAATTATTTAGGGTTATATATAAGTTTAGCCAAGTGTTAAAATAATTTTTGTAACATAAATAGCAAAGGTAAATTATTCTTTGAACAATTCATCATTCATTAACCATATACGTGCACGTGCACACATACAATAATATATATATATATATATATATTGTAATATATTATATTCTCTTAACATTTTCTTTTTTTCTTTTTTTAAATACTATTTGCCAATGATAATATTTTAAAAGTATTTTATTAAATATTTATTAATTTTACATTAAACATTTTTTATATTATTATTATCAGAATTTTAAAATAAAACTTCAAAATCTTTGTATACAGATTTTAATAATATATAATAATAAAGTTTTAAAAATTATATGATTGTAATATGTTTAATTTCATTACTATATATATATTGCTTTTATTGTTACTTAATAGTAGTATAACGTAATTCAATTTACAACAATATGTTTAAAATATTATAGAATTAATAAATTCCGTGTACAACTGTCTTATCATAATAAGGAAAAAATAAATAAAAAGAAAACTATTTATTATAAATATAAAAAAAAAAATTTAATATATACATATATATAGAAATAGTTTAGAGCTAACCCCCAAAAGCCACAGTTGTCAAACACCTTCCCCACAAATTCCGATTTCAAACCCTACAAACCCTTCCTTCAATCAAAATCCAAATTACCTCTCCAAAGTCAGTTAAATCATGTCCAACGATCAGCGCGCAGCCTCGGAAGCCGAAGACGGAAGAGATAGCAAGGCGGCGGAGGAGGAGGAGCCTCAACCGGAAAATCGCATCGTTGAAGGAGGATACGAAACGCCGACGTCTGAGGAGCACAGAATTCCGGAAGTAGCTTGGAGCTGTCCGCCGCCGGCGCCGAGGAAGCGAAAGAGGCTTTTTCTTCACAGGAAGAAATCGAAGAGGTTGGGGACATCACCGCTCGATGACGAAGCGCTGGAATTGTTCTTCCAATCGTTCGTTGCGGAATCTAGGGTTCCGGCGGAGGCGGAGGCGGAGGCGATAACCGCCGCGAAGAAGAGGCGAATTGATTGAAGGAAGATTTTCAGCTGCGTTAATTTCAGGTATCAATCGCTGTTGTTTAATTTTTCCCCAACATTTGTTAATCACTTAGGCATTATCAAATTCTGTATACAAATTAGGTTATAGTTATAGCAAATATATATGATCATCAATTAGTGATACTTCGTTGTTGTAATTTCTATAGAATTAAATAATTAATGAATGCTTTTGACTAAATTTTGATGAAATTGTTTTGCTTATTTAATTTGGATTTTAATATTATTATTTGATGAATGTATATTAGGACAAGGATGCATTAATTATTGTAGGCACACGTATGTGTTCTTGGATTCCCTCTTTTTTTTTTTTTTTGTTTTTTTTGGAAATTGAAGAAGAAAATTAAAGTTGAGAAAAATACAACAGAAAAATAACTAAACCACTGACTTTTTAAGTGTATGAAACCATAGTGAAGTCTTATAATAAAAACCATCTAATCCATCAAGTCTACTGATTTTACTTTTTATTAGATGTCAAAATCTCCTAAAATGTGTATGTAAATAGAGATATTTTATAGAAAAATAAAATAAAATTGACATTTTAAATTTGTTGTCTGATTATATATATATGAATATTTGTTTTCTTACACAATTTATTGGAGTTATCAAAACTTTTGAAAATATTTCCAAAATATATTTAAACAAACTTCACTTAATTTTCAAAGCAAACATTACTAAAAATTTGTCTAATATCCTTTGAAAATAGTTTCTGAATCAATTTCAATACTATTATAAATAATTTAAATCGTATAAATCAATCAATTTGTTTTTTTCTTATGTTCTTGAAAATCCCAAGACTCTAACAGATACAATATTTTTTAATTTCGGTAAGTAAGAAAAATTTGAGTTAATTCAGTAACACTACACTATAATATTAGTATATTACTGTTTATTTATTGAGCAAAATTAAAATGTATATGTGGTGGCTAATCCGACGTGGTCGTAATTATCCATAGTTCATGCAATAATTGATTCCATCCAATCTTATCACCTTCTACGAAATCTCTTATACCAAATGCCGTTTATAAGTAAAATTTAATCCCATATCTGGCATCAATTTTATTTATTTAATTTTTTTTAAGGTTAATAAATAAATAATAATAAACATTTGAATATTTAATTTGGGTGGATTCTTTGTATGTAGCACAAGAACAGAAATGCATGGTTTGGGAACAAAATAAATTAAATCAAAATTCCACGTCATATTCTCTATTTGATTATTAATGTATGTATGTATTGTCCGATAACCTGCCTGTCCAAATTCCTGTCAAAACTATCCAACGATTTAATTCAATTCTTTGTGGGGAATATCGAAGGCCATGGCTCTATCCTTGGATTCGATTTTATTTCAATTTTTTGTTTATATATATATATATATATATATTTTAAAATAATAAAATTAAGATCGTGTCCTTGTCCGATGAACTTTTGTTATTTTTTGCCCTATTATTGATCTTTCTCAACACTTCAAAGACAATAATACAAAAACCAATCATTAAATTTTATAAATAAATTTCGGCATTATATTAAAGATAATAGTCCCTCCGTCTATTTTCGTCAGTCTCATACACTTTAATCTCATTATAAATTATAGATTTTATATATTTTTTTAATTTTAATTAAATTATTTAATTAGATTAATTTTACTCTACAATTATTTTTATTATACTATAATTATTTTTATTAATAAATTTTTTAATTATTTACTAATTTCATTTTCCCTAAATTTATATATGTATAGTAAAATGCCCATATTAGATGAGACACAGGAATAATTGAGCATTGACAGCCAAAATTCAAATATGCACAAAGGCCCAAAACGGTAAATTCGCCACCGGCACATTTTAACCACGTAGCAGTAACATGATAACCGGTCGACACGTGCTGTGCACGTGGCAGGCTTTAGGTTCGTCTGCCGTCCCTTTTTAGGGTTCACAGGTCACTCAGAAAACAAAAAGAGAGGGAAGAATATTCAGTAAATTTTTATTTTAAAATAATCAAATTAGTGCACAAATGGCGCCGAAGCGGCGGTCGGCGGCGAAGGCGGTGGTCACCGCCAAGAAGGTGGTGGAGGAGACCGTACAACTGGTGGTCAGCCCCGACGGAGACGAGTCGGAGAGGGTGAAATTGATTTCTTCCTCCACCAAACAGGACCACAGCGTGCGGATTTCTCCTCCCCCGACGGACGGAGAACCGCCGGTCGGAAAGTCGGTTTCGGTCCAAATCGACAGCAGTGACACTCAGCCGGCGGCGACGACTCCGGTGAGGAAGGCGCGGCCTTCGAAACCGGCGGCGGGGGAGAAGCGGCGTGAAATAGAGTCAAGGAAGCAGAGCAAGGGGAAAATTGCGAGCGGCGAGGTAGGAAGGCATCGGCGGCGGCGGCGGCGGAGGATGGTCGGGGCGGCGTTCGTGGGCGGCGGAGAGTACAAGACGTACGTGCATAGAGTGCTGAAGCAGGTGCACCCGGATATGGCGATATCGAGGAAGGCGATGACGATAGTGAACAATCTGATGGGAGATATGTTTGAGAGGTTGGCGGAGGAGGCGGCGAGGCTGCAGAAGCAGACAGGGCGGCGGACGATGTCGTCGCGGGAGGTGCAGGGGGCGGTGAAGCTGGTGCTGCCGGGGGAGTTGGGGAAGCACGCCATTGCCGAGGGCACCAAAGCTGTTACCAACTACCTGTCCAGCGGGTAGGGAAGGGGTAGAAGAAGATCAAGACGACGTGGTTTCGGTAGAGTAGGGTAGAGATCAAAACGACGTAGTTTCGGTTTAGGGTAGGATAGAGATCAAAACGACGTAGTTTGGGTGGGTTTAGCGAATGTAGACGACGGTTAGAAGATATTCCCGTTGCTGTATATGTGCTCTTTTAAATATAGTTTCTTTGGTATTAGTATTTGAATTTTGGGATTGTGATTCTCATACTCCCCCTCCCGCTTGCACTCACAGCAATTGAACCATTTAATTCCCGTGATTTTAGGGATAGGATATTTGAACTGATGTTAATAATAATTAATTATAATATTATTATATTATTTTTATAATTAATTTTAAAATAAATTTAACATATATAATTAAAAAAATTAAAATATATATTTAAATATTTAAAAATTATATAGTAATTAAAAAATATATTTAATATGGATATTATTTGTAAAAAATAAAATTTTTAAAAATTATATAGTAATTAAAAAATATATTTAATATAGATATTATTTGTAGAGAATAAAATTTTTATAATATAAGGAAACAAAAAAATATTTTTGTTTTTAAAAAGAGAGACAAAATAAAGCGATAGACGGAGGAAGTATATGTCTTCTTAATAAGAAAGAAATGGTTTATTGAAAATTGTGTAAATTAAATAGTATAAATTTGTGTTTGAAATTATAGCCCAAAGATGATTTTTTATTCCAACAAAGTTAGTTATACCCATTTTTTTTTAAAAAACAATTTTATAAATTATTCAATTACATTAAAAAGTCCAATATAAATATTGAAAAAAAAAAATAAAAAAGCTCAATTTTCAATTTTTTATTTTTTTATAAAATATTATAAATATATCAAATACAATTTTAAATCATAAAATTTAGGTAAATTGAATAAATTTGTTCTTCTATCCAACTAATAAACCTTAAAATATATAATTAAAGTAATTTTTATATTCATATATTTCTTTTAAATTAAAATATATTACAAAAAAATTATTAAAATTATAACAAAATATTAGTAAAATTATAACAAAATATTAGTAATAACAAAAAGTATCATATTATACAATTCTATATAATATATTACAATGAAATATAATTATGTTTATCTATAAAACAGGTGGAAGGACGAGACATATGCATTGTATTCCTATCATTGTAATTTCGATATAATAACATTATTGTTTATGGCGCTCAAACTTCGAAATCTTCTCTTATTTCTTCTCCTTGTCTTGCTTTGTGGTAAGCCTTTTTTTTTCTTTTTTTTTTTAATTTTTTTTTATTTTTATTTTTATTTTTTATTTTTATATATATATCGCAAGGTTGTCATTAATAAAAAAATGCAATTATTTGTTTCTTTGGCAGAGGAAGTGACATTAATGTCTATAGCCGCGGGCATGGGATCACCTATCCGGAGGGTTTTCCTGTGGCCTCTGTTCATCCTATGAGAGGGAGATACATGACAATCTTATTATTTTTTATTTTTTATTTTAAAATTCATAAATTTTTAAAAATTACACTTTGCCCTCTAATAATTTGGGATTCACATTGATTTAATAATGATTAAACGTTATTCACTCTGAAATCGATTAAGAGATCAGAAATCATCGCGGTCGTCTCTTCTGTCCGTCTGTCGTGCTGCTGTCGGTTGCTGAGCCCAACCCACTTTTCTGTCGTCGTCTGCAGTCTTAATCGTTAGTGTCTAGAAAATTTAAAATTCAGTAAAATTTTGAGATTTTTTGCAATTTATGTTTGATTTTTTTTTGTTTTAGGGTTTAGGATTCGTTGTTCTTGGTTCTAATTTGAATACGTGTTTTGAATTTTTCAATTTCGAAAGGGTTTTGATTTTGTCGATTTAGGGCTTTTAGGTTTTGTTGATCTTGTGCTAAATTTTGATGTCGTGGCTTTAGTATTGATTCTCAATTGATGTAAAAACTCAAAATAATTCATATAATAAGTTCTTTAAATTTTATAAAATATAAAAACTATACACATGTGTTTCTACAACAACAAATATTTAATATTTTTCTTTCTTTGGTGATTACAAACATGCTTTCAACTATAATAATAAACAAAAACTGTAACAAAAAAAATATAATAATAATAGAGCCTGAAGCAGTAAAAAACACGAAAAAAAGAAATAAATTCGTCAGGATATATGCTTTCTGATCACCTAAAATACACAGACGATGACCGAGTATTTGAAGATTAAAAAAAAAAAAAACAAGGCTGGAACGACTGTGAAATTCGAGAGCTCCGGAAAAAGTAAATATAAATACAAGAACCACCGAGTGTGAATCGCTGGCAAAATCAATTATAAAATATTGAATGAGAAGTAAGCTTAATAATGTGAAATAGAATATCACAAGAAAAAACAAAAAAAAACCCGCCAAAAAAAAAGGACGAGGGACTAAAATGCAAAATGAAAAATTTTATTTAAAATTAAATAAAAAAGCATTGACATGGCTTACCCTCCAGACAGGGGCAACAGACAACCTCCACTCAGGTGATCTAATGCCATAGCCGAGACATCTAACAAAATATGCTCAAAGATGTTGATTAATATTGGACAACATTGTGATCTGGACCAATGCGACAAAGCCTGTAAGAGAAAAAACTTGGATGAAGGACATTGTTTAATCGGCTTTGGAGATCCCCCTTGCGAATGTTCTAAGAAGTGTTGAGTTGATGGCTTAGAACAACAATTCCAACTATATATATATATATATATATGTGTGTGTGAAATATGCGTTTAAAATTGAATGTTTATATAATAATTTATCCGACTATAAATGTCGTTTATAATAAAATTTGATAAGTATAAAAACTAGTATTTATTATATTCTCATAATAACAATAATAGTTGCAATATTATTACAACTTAAGTTTTATGATAGTAAATTGATGATTAAATCTTATTTGAAATTAAATTCACTATTTAAATTGAATTAAAATATATTTAATTGAAGTAATATATTTTAAAAGCTATATCATATACTTCGTTGTTTAAAGGATATCTTCTTATTTAATTTTGACATACGGATGTAGGTATATTAATATTTTATTGAAGTATAGTATAAATAATGTATGAAAAGATAATGTTATCCTTATTTTTTAGTATAAAAGTAATAATATAATAATAAAATAGAGATATTTTTATATTTATGTAGAGTATAATTTTACTAAAAAAAATATTAGAAAATTTGAGTGGATAAAGGAAGTATTTAATATAAATATTGTTTTATACAAAGTAAAATTTAACATGCTACAAATAATAAGTAATGACCGCTGAGAGGGTTAGATGCAAAGTTTATGAAACCACGAGGAAGTTGGACGCAATTTTAAAAATATGAGGATTTGATGCAATTTCATGAAATCACGGGTGGATTTTGTGCAATTTAGCCGACAAAAAGAGTACTATAAATTATATAGTACAGCTGTGTGTTTATAATATTTTTAGAAAGTTATTGATAGTATACAATTATTGGATCTTGTTGTACAAGAGACCAATTTTTTCGAATTTCTGGGCGGCAGCACTATACAATTGTAAAAAGTAAACACAACACTAGCTTTTAAATTGTAGTTATAATATCAGTGTGTGTAAATATAGCGAAGAACAATATTTGGACAAATGCGATATAAACGAAAAGCAGACAATATTTGTTGATTCAATTCGATATTTCACTATGTAGTTTTTGCTGTGAAAAGAATAAGGAAGTGAAGATAATGCCCGAAACGAGGGGAAATGACAGTCTTCGAATTGGAAAATAACTCTCTGTCAAGGGTGTGTTCGATTTGAAGGATTTTGGTAAAATTTTACTATTTATCTAATTTTTTTTTTCAAAAATATTAAATCAAATATTTATTTTTTATTTTTTATTTTTTACATTATACAAAAAAAAATTAATTTTATATTCAAAACATCACGTCAACACCTATTTATATCATATTATACAATTATTCAAATTTAAAATTTTTACTATTCAAATCCCAACTTAAAATCCAAACACTCAAACAAGCACACCTTGGTGACAAGGAACAACGATTTCTCCTCTTCGTGGAGATTGCACCAACAATCTTGTCCAAAAAAACTGAGGTGTAAAATAGTGTGTAAGTCATCATAGTTTCACACCCTACTTTTGTTGGGTATATTTTTGGGCTAGAAAGTGATGTGGGGCAAGCCCAAAGTGAGTATTTTTGTGGAATTCAGAAATGGAGTGAGAAGGTAGCCCAAGTATTTGGTCAAGGTGTGTTTGTTTGAATAATTTTGGGTAATTTGTACTATTTCAACCAAATTTTTTGCTTCAAAATATCAAATCAAATACTTATTTATTATTTTTATATTATAAGAAAAAATCAATTTTACATAGATCACATCAATACTTATTTATATAACATCATACAACTATTTCAATTTAAATTTTTTACTATTTAAATCTCAATCCAAAATCCAAATCCCAAACAAACACACCCTAAAGAATAACCATCAAGAGGAAGAATTGAGCTTGGTGTAATAGAACATAACCGAAAACATTGAATATGTGAGTAGGAATCAGCATCTGAACCGATCCCAAAATTCAAATTTTAAAAAAAAAACCAAACCGAAAATTTGAAATTCAAAATATACGAAATCTTAATTTTTTTCTTATTATTTTTTTAAATTTTAAATTTTATTTTATATTTTTATAATTGTTTTATGATATCAAATATATAATAAATAAAAATAAGTGCATTAAAATATAATTAATAATTTAAGTTTTTATTTCTAGTAAAATATTAAAGATATAATAATAAAATATATTAAAATATTATATTTCGAATTTCAGATTGGTTCGAATTATTAATATACCAATCAAAACTGATCTGAAAATCTAAAATTTATAAAATTTCATCCAAAAATTCGAACCAAAATTTTAGAATTTGGTTTGCTTCGACATGAATTTTCGGATTTCGCATATTTTGTTCACCACTATATGTGAGTTACTTTGGGAATTGATTAACTAAGATCAATTATCTCGAAAGGTTTTTGGAGTTTTTTGGAAGATCCTTATGCATCAACCTTCTGACCAATCCAATTTACTAGCCTTCCAAAAAAAACTCAAATGCCAGGTACAACAATAATGCTTTTTTTTTTTATTATTATTATTTTTTTTATCAATTTAACATTTAACATGATATTAACATTTATGTGACGGTATCAAATATTGGCGCGATTAAGA